CCGATCCGGATCGTCGATTCGCCGATCCAGATCGGTTTTTTGGGTGTCCGATCCAGGTCACCGATCCGTTTTTTAAACCATTGGCTAAAACTGTTCGCTTTATGCATGACAAGTAGAATAATAAAAAATGAGAAAATTGCAAAAAATCAACTTAAACCTTAAGTCTAACTTTTTTACTCACTTTTTTCTCAAAACGAATTTTCCATGCAAATAACCCCTTAAGGAAAAAATGTTATTTTTTTAGAAGGAAATGTCTCTCTATTTGATGTTGATTTTTGAGCCTCAGTAGCACACTGTCGAAACGCACCATAGTGCACAAGTTTACCATCTTAAGACAACAACCAAAATTGAGTAACACTGGACTACCATGGTCGGAGCGAACAAGTATCGGACCGCCCTAAGATGACTATTGGACCATGTCGGAGTGAACAACTACTTGATCGAAATTGAGTACTGTCGGATCGCTTTTTACATAGTATCAGAGTCTGAAATTGAGTTGTACCAGACCGCCATTTATATAGTGGCAGAGCCTTAGAATCTAGTAACATTTATTGTCGGACCGTCCTTTGCAACGGTTGGATCGCATTTTACACATTGTCGGAGCCCTACTGCTGGATCGTATTTTACACAATACCGGAGCCTATCTCACCTTACACGATGCCGGAGCCTCAGCTTACACAATGTTCGAGCCTTACCGGAGCCTATCTCACCTTACACATTGCCGGAACCTCATCTTACACAATGTTGGAGCCTTATTGTCGGACCGTTTACACAATGCCGGAGCTTTACTGTCGGACCGTATTTATACAGTGTCGGATCCCTTGTTTCAGTTCACATCTTACACAATGTCGGAGCCTTTTTGTCAGACCGTTTATATAATGCCGGAGCTTTACTGTCGAACCGTATTTACACGATGTTGGATCCCTTGTTTTAGTTCACTTTACACAATACCAGAGCCTTACTACCGGACGGTACTTACACATGTTTTAGTTCACTTTACACAATACCGGAGCCTTACTATCGGACCGTACTTACACAGCGTCGGTAAGGCAAAATAATAAGGGAGGGTAGTTTAGCCATTTCTTTATGTTTTATTTGGTTAGGGGTATTTGTATAGAAAGTGTATTTTAGTATTTCACTTTATACAATACCGGACCCTTACTACCGGACCGGACCCTTTACTACAAGACCGTATTTACAAAGTGTCGGTAACACAAAATAATAAGGGAGGGTAGTTAAGCCATTTCTTTATATTTTATTTGGTTAGGGGTATCTGCATAGAAAGTGTATTTTAGAGAAAAAAAGTAAGAGACAAAATTAGAGAGAAAAATTAGGTTGTATCCCTTATTTTAGTGGGATAGAGGAGATATTTGGTTAGGGGTATTTGTATAGAAAGTGTATTTTAGAGAAAAAAAAGTAAGAAAAAATTAGAGAGAAAAAATTAGGTTGGATCCCTTATTTCAGTGGGATAGAAGAGAGAGGTGTGGTAAGGCAAAATAATAAAGGCGACTAGTTTAGCAATTTTTTTTATGTTTTATTTGGTTGGGGGTATTTGCATAGAAAGTGTATCTTAGAGAAAAAAAAGTGAGAGACAAAATTAAAGAGAAAAAATTAGGTTGGATCTCTTATTTCAGTTGGATAGAGGAGAGCTAGGGGTGGGTAAAGGGAAATAATAAAGAGGGGAGTTTAGCCATTTTTTTATGTTTTATTTGGTTGGGGGTATTTGAATAAAAAGTGTATTTTAGAGAAAAAAGTGAGTGACAAAATTAGAGAGAAAAAATTAGGCCGAGTAAGTTACATACAAAGTGCAGTCGTGAGGTGTTTTTTTTTTTTTGGATAATTTTCATTAATAAAATTGTGTGGAGAGAGAATCGCTACAAAGTATAATCTTGAGGTGTTTTTTTTTTATATAATTTTCATTAACAAAATTGTGTGCATAGAGAATCGCGTGGAAATTTCAGGTTCTTAGAGCGGGGAAGATTAGATTGAGCGATTCGAGGCAGTCCATTTCCTGCGTGTATTAATATTATAAGCTACTCCGTTAGAAGATCAGTATGCGAGGTTCCGATTATGTATTTATATCTTGAGTTTTCTAATGCGTAGATTGCAGCCTCACAAAACCGGACGGTCTCTAAAAATTCTACCTGGTTATGTTTAAAAGAAAAATAAAATGAACATTGAGCACATGGATCTCAACCTTCAAAAATGGGCGTCCTGTTCAATCTTTTGGGATTTTTTTTTTGAGTATTAGTGATGTGCAATTTGGAATATTTTTTTCTATTGGAGTTAGTTTATACCTTCGAAATTGAACAAGTTGAATCTCCGAAAATGCACATAAAATACACTGTTTGAGCCCTTAATAAGTCAGAAGAATAACAACCCCAACGAACTAGCGCATTAAATACGATCGAACCCTCAGGAACTACTACCTTTCTCGTTTTTAGACAATGGGAAACTTTGAGATGGACAGTTATAAGAGGTATGGTGGGAAAAATTAATACCGATAGAAGTAATGAGAATAATATGGATAGAAATAATGAGGGGAGATAATAGTGACTTTGGTCTTATTGAGAATATAAAACTTGATAGAGTAGAATGGAGAAATATGATTATGTAAGAGACCCCAAATCATTAGGATAAGATTTGTAGGATGAGACTTGGGGAAAATTATAAGGGCTTGGTTTTTATAAGGCCAAGCCCGCATATGTAGAAATGCGGGCTTCTTAATAAATCTATTTTTAAGATAGATTTTAAGACTTAAATTTTAAGGACACGTAATCTCTAACATGAAGATCATGAATATAAAAAATAAATAAATCTTAAAAACTAAAAATAATATTTATAGTAAGAAAACATTTTTACCGTTGATTTTTATTATTTTTAGATGAAACACCTATTTACATTCATCTTTAAAAAAGATGCTTTACATTTTTTGGACCGCATATGTAGAAACGCAGTGCAGCCCCATGAAATAATTTTCCAAATTATGAATGCCCAAGCATACTTATCGCCGTTTATGCAATGGACGGTGGTGAAGAGAAGTAGATGGTGCGTGCAATTCAATTAACTTTTTTGTAGTGGGGACACCGCCGTCCATCTCTACCAAGCCAAAGCCGTTGAGGTAACGTCGACGTCCTCGTGCCAGTTGTTCGCTAGATGCGCCGATGACATCGTATCCGTTGGTAGGTACTCTGACTGCTTAACGGCCGTCGATTAGGGATATGAAGAAGAAGAGCATAAGAGTACAGTGAATCACGAATGGCAGCTGCGGGTTGATTCCATGGATTGCTGCTGTGTTGTGAGCTCTTCGTCTTTTGTTTTTGCAAGGACGACCAGATCGTGGGGTCATCGTCACCGTCCAACTACCATTAGTAGCAGTCTCATAGGAAGACAGGAGGGAAACTTTTTTTGTGTTAGAATTATTACATCGTGTTCTACTGCGGGTCGCCATGGCTACCGTTTCACTCAAATTGCTAAGAGACAACGCCTCCCGTCTTTCAAATGTGTTGCCACCAACCCAACTACGGTAATCTCTCTCTATCTACATTAGCATTGAACCTGTAAAGAATTGACATCACATATTGGGGGTGCTTTTGATGTATTTATATGTACAGGTTAGGAATGTGGAGAAAAGCAAGTTCGACTTGTTGACAGCCGTGCAGGACACACAGCGCGGGCTTGTGGCCACGCCCGATCAACGCGCTCAAATTGAAGAAATTCTGGTTGTTTTTTCTCTCTACCGCATTAATGCCATAACAACTTTCATTATGGTAGTAGATTCAATTATGTATTTCTTTTTTCCATTTTCTATTTGGAGAATCTCCAATTTTCACATACATTCAGGTTGGGATGTGATGCAAAAAAAAAAAATCAAGGTATTCTCCCTCTTATTAAAGGGTATTTTGTCCCTAAAATAAGTTTTTTTTAGTGGAGGCCCATAGAAAGGGGTTTTTTTAAGAAAAAAACGTGGGTGAGTGAGGGAGAAAGGGAAGTGGTAGAGAGAAGCTTGGGGTTGAAAATTAGGGTTTTTGTTAACCAAACCCTAGCACCACCATTTGGGGCTCATCTTATGCTGATTTTTCGCCATCTTTGCGTTATCGATGAATAAAAGAAGAGAGTATATTATAGGTGGTTTTGTGGGAGGAAGTTCTTTTGGTTGAGCTTTCGTTGAGATTGTATGAGGTAACTCTACATAACCTCAATCTTGTAATTTTTTCCTTTTGATAGTGAACACATCTTTGCCGTCTTACCCATGGACGTAGCCTATCTTGGGTGAACTACGTAAATGTGCGTGTCCCTCTCTATTTTCATTTGTGTTGTGCTTTGAAGATTTCTCATATTGCTTGTTTTATTATTTTTATATTTTTTCCAATTATATTACACTTGTTATTGCATCTTAGACGTGTTATTTGAGTGTTGAAATCATTGTGGTGCAGTGCTCACTACTTCTAGTGGGATATGAGATATTTCAATTTGCTCAAAAGGAGTGATTGGGTTATCTCGATTTTACAAGAAGTGGTATCAAAGCTCAAGGAATTAGTTTAGTATTTTTGGGAAAATGGCATCTCACAAGTTTGAGGTGGAGAAGTTTAATGGAAAAAATAATTTTGAAATCTGGAAATTAAAAATACAAGGTTTATTGATACATCAAGGGCAACACAAAGCATTACTTGGAAAAGATAAGAAACCGGTAAATCTGACCGATGATGATTTGGACGAACTCGATATGAAGGTACCGACCACTAGTCGCTTGTGTTTAGCGAATGAAGTTTTGTTTAATATTGTTGGTGAAAAGACAGCAAAAGATTTGTGAGAAAGATTGAAAAGTTTGTATTAAACAAAATCTCTCATAAACCAAATTTTCTTAAAAAGAAATTATATTCCTTGAGAATGAAAGAAGGTGCAAATGTGTCGGAACACTTGAATGAGTTTAATAACATCATTTGTCAACTTGAGAGTATTGGTGCAAGAATGGATGACGAAGATAAGGCGGTCACCTTACTTTGTTCATTGTCGGAATCTTATGATAACCTTGTTACTATATTGAGCTGTAGTAAAAAGGATTTTCTTGATTTGGGCTTGATGTGTAGTGCCTTACTTGCCGATGAACTTCAAAAGAAGGTATTTTTGGTACAATGAAAGATGGAAGCTCTTGTGGCAAGAGGTCAATCGAATGAATGGGGTGATTCATTGAGGAATCATTCAAGAAGTAATTCAAGATTTCGATTAAAATCTAAAGGGCCCAATAATAAGAATGTGTGTTGTCATTGTGGGAGCCCAGTCATATAAGGAAGAATTGTTTTAAAAGAAATAGAGTGAATTCTTCCAAAGCTCCTAATGTAAGAGGTGAAAAGCCAAGTGAATCCAAGAATGAAGCAAATCAAGTTGAAGAGTCTACATCCGGGTTCATTGAAAATAAAATATTGATAGTGGCATATAATTCAATATTTTATCAAAATTGGGTACTTGATAGTGGAGCCACCCATCACATGTACCCCTATAGATCACTGTTTGACTCATGTGAGTCATGTAAAGGAGGATCGGTATCCATGGATAATAATTCCACTAGCAATGTGGTTGGAATGAGTTCGGTTAGCCTAAGGATGTTTGATGGGACTATTCAGGCAATTAAGGATATTAGGCATGTACCAGAACTAAAAAAGAGCTTGATTTCCCTCTTTTCTCTAGATTCGGAAGGTTATAAGTTCACCGATTAACATGGAGTAATCAAAGTATCAAAAGAGGCACGAATTGTGATGAAATGAGTCCTAATTGGGAGCTTGTACAAGTTATTAGGAAGCACAATAATAAATAATGAAGTGAATTTTGTGGTCAAAGGTGAGGAAGTTCCATTTCGCCTATGGCATAAAAGATTGGGGCATATGAGTGATAAGGGTATGGAGGTCTTGATGAAGAGGAATTTATTCCTACACTTAAAATTGATGGATCCGAATTTTGTGAACATTGTGTCTATGGGAAACAACATAGACAACCTTTCAGGGCCGGGAAGCATACAAGCAAGTGTAAACTTGATTACATTCGCTCGGACGTATGGGGCCCTTCACCAACTACATCTTATGGAGGTGCATTATATTTTATTTCATTTGTTGTTGACTTCTCAAGAAAAGTATGGATCAAAACTATCAAGTTTAAAAATGATGTGTTTTGTGTATTCAAGAATTTTAAAGCCGAAGTTGAAAAATCTACAAGGCATCACATCAAAGTCCTTCGGACCGATAATGGTGGAGAGTTTGTATCAAAGGAGTTCGAAAATTTTTGCAAGGCCCAGGGAATTACTTGGCATTACACAAATACCTACAATCCTCAACAAAATGGTGTGGTCGAGAGGATGAATCGCACTTTGTTGGAGTGTGCGAGGTGCATGTTAAGCAATGTCAGCCTGGGCGGAAGCCATATCAAAGGCTTGTTATCTTATCAAACGATCACCTTCGGTAGCATTGGGAAGCAAAACTCTTGATGAGATGGTATGGAACTCCAAGTGACTACTCCGATTTAAAATTCTTTGATTGTGATGCATATGCACTTGGTCCAAGTTGCCAAAGGAACAAATTAGATCCAAGGTCAAAGAAGTGCATCGTTGTGGGCTATAGCAAGGCTGTGAAGGGGTACTGGTTATGGGATCCAAGTACCCGAAAAATAATCATTAGCCATGATATGCATTTTAATGAATCCAAAGTATTGGCAAAAGGGATGATGATGACGGACAATGGTCAAGAAGTGCAACAAGAGAGCCAAGAATTTAAAAGCAACCCCGAAATACTTCCACCAAGTGCAACTATGCCTTATGAGAATATACCCATTGATCATAGTGAAGAGCATGAAGAACTAGGAAGTCAAGATGAAGAACCACATGGCCATCATGATGAACTTGTGTCTTTGGCACATAGGTACTCTACTAGAGTAACTTGTGCACCCGGGTGAACAAAGATTATGTGGATCCAGATACTTTGCATGCTTTGATAGCCGAAAATGAAGAGCCAACATCATTCTGTGAAGCCATTGATAGCAATGGTACCGAGCATTGGAAAAGAGCTATGGAAGGAGATATTGGCCATTCAAAGAAATAAGACTTGGGATTACGTGGAGTTACCAAAAGGTAGAAAGGCCGTTGGTTATATATAGGTGTTCAAGATAAAGAAGGGGCTCAATGGAAAGCTTGAAAGATATAATACAAAATTGGTGGCAAAAGGTTTTTCACAAAAACAAGGAATTAATTTTGATGAAATTTTTGCACCAGTTGTCAAGTTGGTATCAATTCGCTTAGTGCTTGGGTTAGTTGCTATGCATGATTTAGAGCTTGAGCAAATGGATGTGAAAAAGGCTTTTTTGCATGGAGAACTTGAAGAGGAAGTGTACATGCAACAATCGGAAGGCTTTATAAAGAAGGGCAAAGAAGGACTTTGTGCAAATTGAAGAAGTAAGAATCAAGATAATGGTATAGAACATTTGATATGTTCATGATGAGCTTTGGGTACACAAGAAGTAAGTATGACCATTGCATCTATTAGTTTGTTGATGATAGTACATACTTGATTTTAGTCTTATGTGTGGATGACATGCTTTTGGTGTGCAAAGATAAGGCAAAAATTGATGAGCTCAAGAGTTCTTTGAGCAAAACATTTGAGATGAAAGATCTCGGGCCAGCAAGGCAAATCCTTGGGATTGAAATTGAAAGGGACTGACAAAATGGAATTTTGTCATTATCTCAAAGGGTTACATAGAAATGGTGCTTGAAAAATTTGGCATGAAAGATACAAAGCCGGTGAAGACACCCCTAACGCTTCACTTCAAATTATCTTCAATGCAAAGTCCGAAGACAGAAGAAGAAAGAAGAAGCATGGCTACGATTCCTTATACAAATGTGATTGGAACTTAAATGTTTGCCATGGTATGTACAAGACCGGAAATTGCGTATGCGGTTGGTGTTTTATGTCGGTTTATGGCAAACCCCAGAAAGGTGCATTGGGAGGCAACAAAATGGGTGCTTCGGTACTTAAGAGGCACAACTAGTTATGCAATCACATTTGGCAAGGGCTCAACCCAAATGCAAGGTTTTGTGGATGCAAATGTAGCCGGTGATCTTGATCGAGGTAGGTCGACTACCGCATTTATTTTTCGGTTTGCAAGTAGACCGGTTAATTGGATGTCAAGGCTCCAAAACATGGTAGCATTGTCAACTACCGAAGCCGAGTACATGGCGGCAACAGAGGTATGAAAAGAAGTTGTGTGGCTTCAAGGATTGATGGGTGAGATAGGCATTGTATGCAAGCCAATGGAACTATTTTGTGACAATTTGAGTGATATTCATTTAGCCAAGAACCCGGTTCACCACAATAGGTCAAGGAATATGTTGGTTCAATATCATTATATCCGGCAAGTTTTTGAAGATAGAAGAGTTCGATTGGTCAAGATCAAGACCGAAGACAACTTTGCGGATATGCTTACAAAGACTATCCAAGTAGAGAAGTTAGAATGGAGCTTAATTTCTCTAGGTTTCAAGAAAGGAAAGAAGTAAAGGGTTGGCAAGGCAAGGCTGTGATTTTGCATCAAGGTGGAGATTGTTGGGATATGATGCAAAAAAATCACACTGTATTGTATTCTCCCTCTTATTAGAGGGTATTTTTGTCACTAACATAAGTTTTTTAGTGGAGGCCCATAAAAGGGGTTTTAGAAAGGAAAACGTGGGTGAGTGAGGGAGAAAGGGAAGTGGTAGAGAGAGAAGCTTGGGGTTGGAAATTGGAGGTATTGCAACAAAACTCTAGCACCACCATTTGGGGCTCATATTAGGCCATTTTTTCGACATTTCTTCGCGGCATCGGTGAGTCGAAAAAAGAAGTTTATTGTAGGTGGTTTTGTGGTAGGAAGTTCTTTTGTTTGAGCTTTCCTTGAGATTATATGAGGTAACTCTAAATAACCCCAATCTTGTAAATTTTTCCTCTTGCTAGTGAACACATCTTTGCCGTCTAGCCCGTGGACGTAGCCCATCTTGGGTGAACCACGTAAATGTGCGTGCCCCTCTCTATTTTCATTTGTGTTGTGCTTTGAAGATTCCCATATTGCTTGTTTTATTGTTTCTATATTTTTCTCAATTATAGTGCACTTGTTATTGCATCTTGGGCATGTTATTTAAGTGTTAAAATCATTGTGGCATAGTGCCCACTACTTCTAGTGGGATTTGAGATATCCCGATTTGCTCAAAAGGGGTGATTGGGTTATCCCGATTTTACAACAATTCCATTCAGTGTTTTCTTTGTCAGAATTGTTTTGAATTTGAAGTAGTCTTGTCAAAATCTGGAAGATAATTAATTTGGGTTCTTCCATTTGGGTTCATGAGCATTTTTTTGAAAGGCGGGTGGCCCCCTTGTCCTTTTCTTAGATTAGTGGTAAATTGGTTATTTCCCTGAGAATCTAGTTGTTGGGTAATTTAAATTCACATTGTGTAATTCATGCTCTGGAGTGTTTTCTGATTTCCTTTGGTTTTTGATAGAGCAGGTTAGTGTTGAAGGGTTTGATGCTGGGTCTCCAATTGATCTTCCCCAGCTAGATGGCACATGGCGCTTGCAGTATACTTCTGCCTCTGATGTCCTTGTATTGTTAGAGTCCGCAAAACTTCCATTCCTTCAGGTTTTAAATCTTTGTTTCTCTCATAAACCATTGCTTTTCCCACTTGATCTTGATTTCATAAGTTGAACTAATGAATGATGAACAACTGATCAGCTGCAATTATTTGGAAAAATAAAATATTGATGTTTGTTTATTTATGATGGGGCACCTTGTAGTGCACAAAATCTATGTATTGCAAGCAGCGACCCTGTTAGTTAAACTGCACTATATTTTTAGGTGGGACAGATATTCCAAAAGTTTGAATGCCGAGACCGTAATGATGGAGGAATTGTGCGAAATGTTGTGCGTTGGAGCATTTCAGGGGTTTTCGAAGTGAGTCATTCATTAACTTAAATGCTTTTGCACTTTCTATTTCAAGCCTAGCTTCACATGGGAATATCATTGATTGATGGTAAGGAGAAACAAAAAAAAAAAGCCATGCTTTATGGCAAGGAAAAGAAATGCATCTGTTAAGTTATTTAGATTCTTAGTCATGGACCCATCCAGAATCCAGGTAATTAGAGAATTCTGAGCATTCACAGAATGTTAGATGGCATGAGTAACATGTGTTCTAATTTTGGAGTGAGTACAACTTTCTATTACATTTTGAAATGGTTGGTCACTCACTTGCAATCATTTCAATAGTTTCATGATCAACCACAATAAGATTGCCTCCTTCAATAATCTTACATCAATTTAAATATTTAATTGTGAAAAATACTATTTAATTTCATGGTACATTCAGTTATTCAGTTACTCATTTGTAAAAATGAGCTATTTCCACTCATGCTACTTGTGTCCATTTTGGTTGTCTGAAAGTGGTGGGTGAATTTATTAAAATGCCCAAAGTAGGTGTTGTTGTGGTCACTTCCACTATTCCACATAATAAAGGATTTGGTGGTTCAGAAAACTTGCTTTCTAGGCTATCTTACATTCTCGGCGAATCAGAATTATTCACAACCATTATTGTTTGCCTTTCTTTTGTTTGTTCTATTGGGGCAAATATTGTTGTAAGACTTGAGCAAGTTTTGATAATTGACTCTATTTATCATTAAAGTTTATTTTCTGCAGAAAAACGAAGGAGCAACTTTGTTGGTTACTGCAAACTTTTCAGTTGTCTCTACGCGAAATATACACCTTCGATTTGAAGAGGTTTGTCTCTTGCTTCTAGTGTTGATCTGTACGTCAGTACACTATGTTTCGAAGCATATTCTGCTGAAAGTGCCACACTTGGATCATGATTATACAATGTTGAGTTTTGGCACCAAGTTACAGTATTGTTCTTCTTTGAATGTGCGGTTTCACTGTTTTTTCTCTATATAGAATTTTAGCTTCATAGAAATAATTTGTTATGGGTCTGAAGATACACAGTAGTTTTTACTTAAAGGCAATCTTAATGACTTAAATAGATCTTGGATTTCGAAGGCACACTCATATAATATCGATTTTATCTATCGTAATTTCATTTAGTGGAAAAGGGAAAAAGTTAAGGAAATTGGTGGATATATTTTTTGAGAGAGAAGTGATCGATATAAACTTTGTTTTATAGTAAAAGATAATAATATAAATGGCATAAGCATAATAGTAAACAAAGATTTAAAAGACAAAATAGTAAATGTCCAGAGAGTAGGTGATAAGCCCTATTAATAAAAAATCGTACTAAGGGAGGAGATAGTTAATGTAATTAATTCTTATGTGTAGGTAGGACTAGAGGATAGAATTAACAGACAGTTCTGGAGGACATGGATGAACTGGTCCAAGAAATACCAAATGGAGAGAGGACCTTTCAGGAAAGGAGTTAAATGGTCATTTAGGAAAAGATGGTAGAGGATATAAAGGGTTATCTTGGATTTTGCTATAGCCTATGACCTAGCAATAGCAAACAACTACTTTAAAAACTGAGTTGAACATTTAATAACTATAAGAGTGGGTCATATAAAAGCTAGATAGATTTCTTTCTAATCAAGAAGATAGATCGACCATCATGGAATGACTGCAATGTTATTCCAGGAGAGAGTTTGACAATACAACATAGGCTCGTGGTAATAGTGAACCCTAATAGTTGTCCAAGAACTAGGTGGTAAAAATTAAAAAATGAGAACATAGACTTATTTATGGATAAATTGGTGAAAGAAGGAAAATAGAATTCTGAGAACGAAGTTACTGTTATGTGGAATGAGATGGTCGATTGTATTAAGACAGTAGCAAAAGAAGTTTCAGGAGAAACTAGAGGAAAAATATTTTTGACAAAGAAATCTATGGTGGAGTGAGAAGGTTGAGAAGGCTATTAGCAAAAAACGATCATGTTATAAAGCTTGGCAATATAATAGAAATTATCAAAATTTAGAAGAACATAAAAATGCTAAAAAATTGCTAAGAAAATATTAAGGCTAAGCTTAAAGTATATGATAATCTATTAATAAACTGGGGACAAGAATGGTGAAAAAGATGTCTTCAAACTAGGAAAAAATGAGAGAGAGGAAGTGTAGGGATTCTAGATCATATTAGATGTATTAGAGTGAGGATCGGAGGATCTTGGTAAAAGATGATGAGGTCAATGAAAGGTGGAGAATACTTTTAAAAAATTGTTAAATAACGAACGCTTTGGGAACACAATGTTAGAAGAAACCTTTGACACAATGAGGGTGGAGGTCATAGTTACATTCGCAGGATTATAATATCTGAAGCGAAAGAAGCTTTGAGAAAGATGAAGATAGGAAAGATATTAAGACCAGATGGCATCCTGATAGAGGTTTGGAAGTGCATGGAGGAGATTGGCATATGTTGGCTTACTAAACTGTTCGACAAGGTGTTGAGAACAAAGAACATGATAGACAAATGGAGAAAAAGTACTATGGTACCTATTTATAACAAATAATGAGACATACAGAACTGTACGAACAATCGAGGGATTAAACTTATGAGCCACATTATGAAGCTATGGGAGAGAGTGGTGCTGTAATGACAAGGGTGTGAAACGATTGTATCAAAAAATCAATTCAGTTTTATGCCAAGGAGGTCAACTATTGAAGTCATTTTCCTACTTATGCAACTAATTGAGAAGTTTAGAGTGAAGGGAAAAGACCTCCACAGGGTCTTTATTGTTTTAAAGAAAGCATACAATAAGGTGCGTAGAAACTTAGTTTGGTAGGTATTGGAAAAGAATGGCATCACTAGAAGCTATATTAACATAGTTAGAGATATGTATGAGGGAGCGTTAACTAGTGTGCAGTCAACTAGTTGAGAAACAAGTGAGTTCTCATGACAATGGGCCTACATCAGGGGTCACCACTAAGACTATATCTCTTTGTTTTGATTATTGACGAATTAACCAGGCACCCACAAGAAGAGGTACCATGGTAAATGTTGTTCGCAGATGACGGTTGGATCGATGAAGCTACAGGCTGTGTCAACGCAAAGTTAGAATGTTGGAGGGATGATTTAGAATCTAAAGGTTTTAAAATTAGCCGGACTAAGACAGAATATATGGAATGCAAGTTTAGTAATAATAAGAAAAAAAAGTGAGTAGCTAAGATTGATCATCAAGAAATACCAAAAAATTATTGTTTTCAATATCTAGGCTCGATAATCCAAGAGAAAGAAGAGATTTAGGAAGATGTCGCACATAAAATTAGAGCTGAGTGGGGAAGTGGAGATGTGATCCTGAGTTTTATGTGATTGCCACATACCATTGAGACTAAAGGGGAAGTTATGTAGAACTGTAAGACCAACCTGCTTTATGGGATAGAATGTTGGGCGGTCAAGAAACAACATATCTATAGGATGAGCGTAGCTGAGATGAGGATGATGAAATGAATGAGTGGCAAGACAAGAAAGGATAGAATTTATAATGAATATATACAAGGGAACTTAGGTGTGGCTTCAGATAAGATGAGGAAAAGTAAACTTAAATGGGTTGGTCATGTGCAGCGTGGATCTAATGCAACACCAGTTAGGAGGTGCAATTTGGTTCAAGTAGACGACTCTAAAAAGGCAAAAGAAATACCCAAAAGCATATGAATAGAAATAGTGAGAAAACATATGGTGACTTTTGGTCTTACTGAGGGTATGGCCTTGATAAAGAAGATTAAAGGAACACGAGTAATGTAGCCGACCCCAAATACTTGGGATAAGCCTTAGAGAATGATGATGATGATGATGTATCATGTAGGTGATTAAGTTTGGCATGAAAAGCCAATTTACCATTACTAAGGAGTACGTATGCTAATGATTGTACAAAGCAAAAGCCTCCATTTCAATCAGATGTTTGTATTCAATGCAATCCAGATGATGATCCCCTTCACATGCTATGTCGGATCAGTTTTAAGTATGGTTTCCATATCTTGCTATTGGTGAGTCTTGCTTTGGAAATCAAATTATGTCCATATGTTGAGACAACATATGTCAGCCATCTCAATGTCAAAAGAAGCTTTGGAATCTTTGGATGTGACAACTTGGTGTCAGCCATCTCAATGTCAAAAGAAGCTTTGGAATTTTTGGATGTGATAGCTTGGTGGAATCATGTGTATGGAATTACTGCATATTATCAAAAAGCAAAGCTTTATATGTGACCCCACCCACATATAAAGTATTTGTGACCCTTGCTTTCGACTGTCCGATCTGAGTAGAGTTGGCTCTTGATTGTCAAATCTATATCTGACAACTTAGTGTTGGATTTTTAATTTATTCTATAAAACATTTTACTGCAAAATTTCAAGCATCTGTACATCTAACAGGAGTACACATGATTAAACTTAATAACAAATATTTCTATGATGAAAATTTACCAAAATACCCCTGAAACTTGCAGGGCCTTTTTAATCCTTTATTTCCATGAGAAGTTTTTTTTTTTTTTTTCTTTTGCTAGGTGCACCCCAATAAGAAGAGGGGATGCCCCAAACTTCACTCAAAAATGTTTTGTAGAAAAATATTAAAAATTAAACAGTATTTGGGCGTGACATCAAGACACGAGGCAATCGTAGCCATCCATTCAGATCGAACGGCTGAGAAGTGGGGTCACATTTATTTTGTATGTGGGTAGGGTTACATACAAAGCTTTCCCTTATCAAAATAGCACCACATCTAGAAGTATTTGTATACCTCATAAAATCATGCTTCCCATCATGAAAATCTCTTATGCTGCTAGTTAAATCATATTGGTATGATTACAATCTATCAAGTTTAACTCAGGGTCCTTTGTTCAAGACTATCAAAGTCATATGGAAGGGTGACAAACATTAACTCAAAATGGAGCCATGGTCAACTTACTTAGATTCAATACAAGGCTGACAAACATATCACTATTCAATCACTCCTATATTAATCTCTGCTCTCACTGTGGCCATTTTTGCTGCTACGGGGTGGAAGCCTTCTTGTAATGTATTCTTGAATCTTGTGGATATTCCACTGCAACCATATTATGTTTTTTGCCCTGTATGTTTTGCAGACCCTAACTTGTCTCATGAACCCATTTTCACCCATATGTCTCTTTCTTAAGGGTTCATTTTGAAAGCTTGTAATCCTTACAAGAGAATTGATATCTGAACAAATGCATACCATTCCTCGGAAGCTACAATAAGATATAATAATCAAAAAAGAAGATGAGTATAGGGTATCTTGAGGTGTCATTCCTAGGAAGCTCAACTTTGATGGAACTGCTCTTGAGGAAATAGGTCCTTCAAATCTGGGGTAGCTTCCAGGACAGCATGATTGTTGTAGTCATGTTCTGTAGTCCTGCAGAGTTGTGTGATTTGATTGTGTGCCAAAGGTTGTGAACTCCTTTCCTCTATTGTGACTGTTACTCATTGACCTATGTGCTTCTTGTGCTCTATCTTCCTTGATTCCATTTTTTCTTCTTTTTATTTGGTTATGTATTTCTGCACTTGATGCAACTTGATATTTTATTCAATGATTTGGTAAATGCTTTGTTCATTATAAGGGGGAAAACAAGGATAGAGAAATAATAGATTCTCCACGTTAGAGTAATTGATTCATGGTAGAAGCCATTAAGGTGGGGTACATACATGTTATCACTGTCTTAATTGAGTCGCTTCTAGATTTGTAAGTTGTGACCGACACTGGATGAGGCGTCTTGAGTAACTATCTTGTCCATAAGATATTGAAAGACTGCTTTAAAAAATTGGCATGATTGATTCACACTACAACACTAGGCTCGGAAAGGATTTAACTTTAAATAAATACCATAAAATATTCTATAACTACACTGCAAGATTTCAACCGCTAGTTATAACAATAAAAAAAAGAGAATATAATGTACACTTGAAAGAAAAGGATGACTTCTTCCTACAAAAAATTTACCACTAGTTATAACTATAAAAAAAGAGAGAATATAATGTACAATTGAAAGAAAAGGATGACTTCTTCCTACAAGAAATTCACAGGAGAATACTTTACAGAAAACCTAAAGGTAGACTTAACTCCACATGATCATCTTATGCGCCATGTTTCTTTCTAGAAACCATACACCTCATGACAAAATGGTAGCAATTTTGTGTTTCCTCTTTCTCAACCCAAAACCCGGGTTTTTCTCTTTAGAAAACATCTTACGTTTCTCTTTTCTATAAGGCACTAGGTTTTTCCATTTTGATAAAGGAACATCCAAAATAAGATTTCTATGAGTTTTACAGTGTATAACTTAATCTAGGATGAACTTTCAAAATCAGTTCTTTAAAATATATTTCTCCAAAAATAATAGAATTTAGGGAAGGACTTTAAAACCTCTCTACTTGTACCCACTTATTTGGCATATTTAAAAGTTCAAATGTCCCTTTTGATTCTTTTTGGGAACTACTCTGTGCAGAGACTATAAAACCTTCCCAAGATTAGAACGTCTTTCCAAAAAGGGTGAGGTTTGTACGAGGCATCAACCTTAATGTAGACACCACTTTTGAAATTGGTTGTATTTCTAAAATCCTTTAGCCTGAAACCTGAAATTTGTGCCTTATTCGAACCCCAAATCCTAAGCCTAAGCCAATCATTTCCTAAAACCACTGGAACAATAACCTAAAATAGCCTAATAAGCCATTAGGGACCATACTAGTATCGAAGATCTTAGGGTGCTTTCACCTATAGTCCCTAAAAACCTAAACCATAGTCCATAGTTTTTAGAAAATCTAAAAGCTACCTAGGAGGTATCCTAAAACTATTAGGATTTATCCAAAAACATTTTAGGATAGAAACAATTAGGACTCAAATGAGATTAGAACTGTGTCGGATCCAAATCACATTAGAAATTTATCCAAAATACATCCCTATCAAGATAGGATTAACACGTCCTGCAAAACGAGGTGAAACGAGATAGCGAAGCAAATCACGTCGTGGGTGCTGTACAATGAACGACACAAATCGCATAGCACCATATTAACCCTGATTGTTCTAGGATTCTAGAATGATACAAAAATGCGTAAAGCAGGGTAAAACAACCTAGAAAAGGACCCTCTTCTAGACTTAGAAGTCCAATTGATAGAAGTTTAGAAAAGTTCAGAGCAGTTCATAGGCATTCAAAAGACGTCACAAACCCTAGGGCGATTAAAAGAATCTCAAGAAGACCTAGAGAGAATACCCTAGCCTCATAGCCATGAAAACCCTAGAAAACCTTGAGCAGCCACAAATCCTAGGCCTAGGAACCTAATCCCTAAAATGCTAGTTCATCTTCAAGTCAACAATTATTTTAGCAAATTCTTTCAACGAGGAGAAGGCAATGGTGTAAAGCAACCTGCAACCTGATACGAGCCTAGGCCAATAGGGGCCTGCTCTATTAAGAAATATTTATTTATTTCGTTTAAATTATCTTAGAAATGTTCGTTTTGGCCTAAAAGATTAGACAACACTGTTGACAATCTGAAGAGCAATTGGTCTCTCAAGATTAATTCATTTCCGGATTGTAATTCAACTATCCCATGAGTCTCTCTCGAATTTATTAAATTAATTGATTCAGAGGATAAATTAAAGGGGATTATAAGCAGAAATATTCTCGGGATTTGGCTGTAAACACTTAAACAATCAAAGTAAAGTGGACCTGAAAACTATGCCAAAAGATGCAATTTCGGTGTAGGAAAGCCTTGTGATGGCATGATATATGAGCGGAGCTCGTTGAAAGAAGATAAAAAAGACAAAAGAGAGTACAAAATTTTGTGGCATAGTTTTAAGGTCTGCTCATATATCATTTTAAAGTTTATCATGCACTTCCTTCTGGTGAACTTCATAGTGCAGTTTGTATGCCACTGCTGTCAGGGCTTCACTCTTACTTCCTAATACCGGTCCTGATCTTTGGAAGCCTCTCTTTGTTCTCAAAGCACTAAGTTTTGATAGGGTATTTGTGGTTGGGTACTCCCCATCCATTGGACAGTTTGAAAGTCTTGCTTACTTCTTAGCAGTAGCTTCCCGTTTCACATGAAATACATGGGCGTTTATAAGTATTCAAGTGGTTTGGTTCCTCATGAATATGACACAAGTCCTCCTGGGGTTTTATCAAAGAACCTCCCCTGATAGACAAATTGATTAAAAAGAATATTAAACTATCTGGATTGAAATGACCCTGTAAACATGAACTATGCTTGGAGAAATGTTTCTACCACTCATTCAAGTTTGAGAATGTGTATATACACACTTTTGCAAACTCTTAAAGCCGATGATAATGCCTTTGAACAGTAAAATGAAACAAAGATAACAAAGATCAACTGGATATGGTTGCCCCTTGTAATGTGCTTTACGCAGAATTTTCTTAGACGGTTCCACTAGGATGTCCCATTACATGTACCTACAGCCAGAACCCTTTACACATTTCATATTGCATCTTTCATGGAGCATGTCCATTTGAAGACATCACACTTGCTTTCTCATAGTGGGTCTTGATGCTACATTATCATGTCTGTGTCGCTACTAGCAATTTGTCTTATTTGTGCAATGTATTTTGACAATAGAAATGGCTTTTACTCGAACGAACTTTTACTTGCAGGTGGGTGTTGAAGATATAAGGATCAGCGAAGAGCTTCAGGCTCTGATCGCCCCTGCATTTCTCCCAAGAACATATTTTACCTTTGAGGTATTATAAATGGCATGTATGAGGAGAGAGAGAGAGAGAGAGTATCGTGTTTCACTTTGTTCGTTGAAAATTAATGTGCAACTCCACAGGTCTTGCAGTTCATTCGTAGTTTCAAAGCACAAATTCCTTTAAGCAGCCCAGACAGGTACACTTTTTTTTCAAAGGAGTCAATTAATAATGATTAAAGTGTAGGAAAAAGAGTAGAAAGATTTGTATTGATATCAAATTGCATGGCAGGCGATCAGTCGGAGGATTGTATTACCTTTCATATTTGGATAGAGATATGCTATTGGGTCGCGCACTTGGTGGCGGGGGTGTTTTTGTTTTCACTAGAGCGCAACCTCACACGCTATGAAGGCAGAATACATTCTAATTTTTTTGTTCTTTTGCAGTCATTTTGTGAATATATCAACATATCATAATCAAAAGTATGTAAGATTAAATCAGAAATATTGAGGGAAAGTAATGAGATTTTATTTTGTATGGTGCAGTACTCTCTCACACAAACAAAGAAGTGTCAAACGAAGATCCTTCTACCATTCTTTTTCATACAAAAAGAAAGAATGGAAATATTACCAACACACAATCTACCACTCGTATGTGGAATGCACCCTCAGCAGTCCATTGTTAACAATATAGGGTTGATATGTATTCGGCACCATCTGTATGTGAAAACTGCATTAACGAAAGGATATGCTGCTCTTGCAGGAGCATATTATCCATTTGCTCCTTAGATAAAACACAGGCTAAGAGTAATTTTTTGAGCATCAAATTTTAGGGATGTAGCCTAAAATTTTAGAATTAGAGTTGGGTGGGCGAAATGGAGATGTGCAATCAGGATTTTATGTGCTCGCCGCATACTAATGAAGCTGAAAGGGTAATGTGAGATTCATTTTTGCTTTATGAGGCAGAATGTTGTGCGGTCAAGAAACAACATACTATAGAATGAATGTAGTTGAGATGAAGATATGGAGATTGATGAGTGACAATACAAGAAGAGATAGAATTTGAAATAAATACATATAGGAGAACTTATGTGGCTCTAATAGGCGATAATATGAGAGCCATTAGACTTAGGTGGGTTGGCCATTTGCAACACAGATTCAATACAACACCAGTTGGAGGTGTGAGTTGGTTCAAGTAGAAGTCTCAAAAAGGGTAATGGGTATGCCAAAAATGACATGGTTAGAAATACTGAGAAAAGATATGGAGACTTATAACATCATCAAGGGTATAGCTCTTGACAGAACAGAATGGCAAATCAGGATTCGTGTATTTGCTGTTTCCATATAGTTGGAAAAAGGTTGCGATGATAATGATGACTCAGGGATACAACAAATACAAAAAACATACCAACTAATTCAAGCCCATATGTAAGTTCTTTCCAAAGAATATAAAAATGCCCCACTCTTAGCCAAGCCATCCACTGTTTCATTAGTCTCTCTATACATACACCTAATGAAAAGAAGTCTCCAAACCAATATCCGAAACTTTTGCCTCAACCGACAATAACATCCACAGTGGTCTATTCCTCTTGTTACACCCAATTTATAACATTGAGGGAGTCACATTCCACTACACAAAAGGCCCCAGCTTCTCTATTCGTCTCCAATTTCAGACCTTGCAAAAGAGCATCGAGCTTTGCCATATTTTCAATAAAGTAACCATAAGGACATGCAAAGGAAAACAAAACCTACCCACCTGAGTCCCTTACTACTCCACCCATCCCGACCAACTTTGGATTTCCTCAAGAGCTCCCGACAAAATTTAATTTAATGTATTTAGGTAACATTTTGAAATTCAGATAACATCAAAAGTTTTACCCATTATCAATCACCACGACAGATGATTAATTGTTCAAGGGCCATGCACACTACTGCAATTTCAGATAATATCTTGAAATTCCCACTCTTCTTTTTTATAACACCTCTCTCACATATATTGTGTAGCATTGTAACAGTTTTATGGCAATTTTTCAATACAATTTTCCATCCACATACTTCTCTTTCTACCCCTATCAAGCTTTCTCGATGTCTATTTTAACAGACTTTGTGATCGGAAGAGACAAGAAGGGATTTGATTGTTGGTGACAGATGGAGAGATGATTTCATACTCTTTTGGTTTGGATGCACTTTTCTCAGCTTCCATCCATGAGAGATTTGCCTGGTTTATATGTGTAAATATTTGTAATATAAAAAAAATGATTGTTAAAAAAAAAACCAAAACAAACAGAAAATTGGGTTTCAAATTATTGATATATTCCTTTGTAGAGGAGATAGAGAGAGAGAGAGAAAGATGGGTTGGGTTGGGTTGGGTTGAGAGCATTAATGTGTTCCTTTGCAGAGGAACCATAATGCAAACCCCTAGAAAGTGAGAGAGATGGGTTGGGTTGAGAGCATTAATGTCTTCCTTTCCAGAGGAACCATAGATGTAAACCCATAGAGAGTGAGAGAGATGGCTTGAAAACACTAGAAATCTATATGATGTAAATCCAACATAGATGGGGTTGGGTTTTTGATGCAACTCTTGTACCAATTGATGCATAGAGAAAATAAAAACCAAAAAAATACTAAAAGAAAGGTTGAGGGAATATGCTCTCTCTCAAGGTCTGCAAGGGAATCCACCCCAAAAATAATCTCTTCACGAGACCAAATTTTATTAACTTATTCACATCTTTACAATGAAGGAAAACATCTCTTTAAATAGACTAAAAAAAAGAAGAAAAAGATAAACATCTGACTTTCCTATTTTATCTCCTTTAGTCTATTTTCTCTCATCGCTATCTTTTCTCTTAAATTCATGTGCCACCTACGTTTACCCATTGTTGAAAAGATAAAACCCCTAGATCTAACCTTATTATATTTATACTTCTAAACTAACCAACCCAATTGATCGACATCAACTCACGACAAAATAAACTCACCTAATTATCCCTACGCACCTCCTATTCTTAAGTTAAAGATAAACTAAAAAATCCTGATAATAATAAAAAACTATTATTATTATTATTTTCTCTACATCATTCTCTTGGGGTTGGGAGAAACTCGACCTCGAGCTTGATTCAAAGAAAATCTCCTTCTTAATCACCATGGAGGTTTATTTGTTGAATGTGATCTTATAGAATTTCTTCCTCTTCCTTAGTCAAGTATACCTCCATCTTCTTTTTTGGGCATTCAAACAAACGATGTCTTGGTTCGTTGCATCGATAACACATAAACTTTACATTATTTATTTTTTCTTCATTAAATTTTGGTTGACCACTTTCTGAGGGCAAACGTGTTTATAGGTGCTCCCTTGGTATTTCATTTCTACTCGTAAAGCAAGTTGAAAAGCTTCACTTAAAGTCTATGGGCGATGTAGAAAAACCTCATTCCTAATGAAGGCCATTTACATATCGAGCAATCTTTTGTCATTCCGTCTCTTGGAGGTTATTTCGAGCAACTAATCGATAAAACTCCCCGGTATAGTCTTCTACTTTTTTTCATTCTGTTGAAGCTTTTGAAGTTCTTGAAAGAAAATTTGCTCATGATCCGTAGGAAGAAAATTTTCTTTCAATTTCCCTTTCATCTTTTGCCAATTGGAAATTTTTTCTTTCCCACAACGAAGTCGGGATTGTTGAACTTGCTCTCACCAGGCTGCAGCATACCCATAGAGCTTGATAGCAACAAGTTTAACCTTATGTTCCTTTGGCAATTCACTCCGTTCAAAATAATTCTCAATTGCACTTAACCAATCAATAAAATCTTCGATGTGGAGCTTACCATGAAATTCTGGTAGATCGACTTTAATACCAAAGTCTCGTGGTCGCTCTATATGATGCCGATTTGGCCTGCAATCGTCGTTACACTCGAAATCAACACCCTCGATTTGTTGTGGAATTCCTGATGCAAGATTAATGTGATTGCGAGTACCTTCTTCACGAGGAAGGTTATTCTCCAACCGCTGCAACCTCTGATACACCCGTTGCATCCTTTGATTCATCTCACGTACTTCAGTTCAAAAATCTTCTAGGCGTTGCATCTTCTGATTCATCTCTCGATTCATCTAACGTACTTCTGTTTCAAAATCCTCCAAGGCTTTAGTCAAAATTTCTCCCCAACGATCATCCATAGCAAAGCAAGGTTAGCTTGATTCGCTTTTGGTGGCATTGTAAATTCTGGACCTAACTTGCTCTTTGTAGATCTAACTGCTCTGGATCTAACTTGCTCTTATACCAATTGATGCTGCTATGATATCAATTGATGTAGAAAGAAAATAAAAACCAGAAAAATACTAAAAGAAAGGTTGATAGAATATATCATCTCTCAAGGTCTACAAGAGAATCCACCCCAAAAATAATCTCTTCATGAGGCCAAATTTTATTCGCTCATTTACAATGAAGGGAAACGTCCCACTAAAAAAAGAAGACAAGAAGATAAACAGCTGACTTTCCTATTTTACATCGCTCAACCTATTTTCTCTCATCCCTATCTTCTCTTTCTTAAATTCACGTGCCACCCACATTTTACCCATTAGTGAAAAGATAAACCCCATAGATCTAACATTATATTATTTATACTCTTAAACTAACAAACCCAATTGATCAACATCAACTCAAGACAAACTAAACTCACCTAATTATCCCTACGCACCTCCTATTATTAAGTTACATATAAACTAAAAAATTCTTAATAATAATAAAAAAATTATTATTTTTTTCTCTGCATTAGTTTTAGAGAGAGAGACCCATATAAAGTTTATAGTTAGTGTCCACATTCATCTTATAATCATATTTTATCTAATATTGGTTTGCGTTTTGGCTGGAAGTAGACGAAATTGTTTGGCTCTCTCTCTATATCCATATCAAATTGTTAGGCTCTATCTATAACCGGTACTCTCATGCTTAAAGTAATTCATTGTAACATGAGATTCTCTTTTTGAGTTTTCTACAGGCTTGTCCGATGGTAAAATTGGTTGTGCCTTGCTTCCAAGTGCAGTCCACATATTGTCCAACAAAATAATATTATCTTCTATATTTTGAAGAGATTTGTCTTTATGTATTTTTGTATTTCATGCAACACATGTAATCCATAATTTTATTTAGGAGTTTAATGCACTTATTAAAAATTTTACATTTTAAGTTAATAAATTTTAATTGAAAATATTTTTTTTAAAATTTTGATTTCATCATTTCAAAATTTTAAATATAATTTTATGAATTAATATGCATACATTATTATTCATAACCAATTTTTACTATTATTATAAACTTTAGAATGTTAGAAAAATTCAATTTTGCATCTTTTAAATTTTTTAAATAAATCTACATTTCATAGTGTGATGCTTAAAATCTTTCAAGATTCAAGATTAATTTTTATATTTTAACTAGGGACTTTTTAAGTATCAAATTTTTATTTTATGGGTTTTCATGTTGAGCAATGATTTCATGCAACGGTTGTACAACAATATGATGCATCAACCTTCAAAAACCATGTTATAACCCTTTGTTTGGTCCAAAATTTGATATATACACTATTTTCATTCTAATGAACAATCAACAAAAAAGCAAAAATTTGAAAACTAACAATTTAAG